ACTCACACACACACACATACTCACACACACACACACACACACATACTCACACACACTCACACTCACACACACACACACACACTCAAACACACACACACACACACACACACACACACACACACACACCCCAACTTGTTATTTTTCAGAGTCATAGTTTGATATGTACAGTTAAACATTAGAAAATTTAATATTTTAATGAGTTTCTTTTCAAGGACTGTTTTGTATTTTATGTGTACATGCATGTGCCTGAGTGTATGAATGGGCATCATTTTACATAGATGCCCACAAATGCTAGAAGCCAAATGAGGGCATCAGATTCCCCTAGAAGTGGAGTTACAGGCAGTTCTGAGCCGCCTTGTATGGGTGCCAGAAACCAAACTCAGGTCATCTACAGGAGCAGCCAGTGCTCTTAACCACTGTGCATCTCTCCAGCCCCAGCTTTTATGAGTTTTCTAATCAAAGTTAAGCTAGTTGCAAACAATTCAGAAGAGAGTTCTCCTGTGCCTGAGTCTGTGTCTGTTCATGTATGAGTGAGTGAGTGTGTGTGTGTGTGTGTTAACAAATTATTGGCTATGTGAGTGGCCTTATTCCAGCTCTCTGCAGAAGAGCAAACACAAATCACACACAGCACTGCAAAATCAAATGCCCGCAGAGGGACTTAGGAGAGTTCACTTGAAAACAGCAGTCTGTAGCAGGAGTGGTTTGGCTTGTGATTCTACGTGAGGGAAGTCCTGGTGGAATGGGTGTGAAAAAGTCTCTCCGGGGAAAGTGAGAAGAATGCTGCACTGATATTCATCTCTCTTTACAGAGGCCAGTCATCATTGCTAGCTGTCTTCGGAAGGAATACACAAGCAAAAAGAAAAAATGCTTTTCCAAAGCAAAGAAAAAGGTTGCCACAAGGAACGTCTCCTTCTGTGTTAAAAAAGGTTAGGAACCATGGTTCTGTCACTAGAGCTGCTGTGGGCTCTGAAGCCTGGGCCTTCCTAAGGGGCTCTGAATGTGATACTGTGATAATCTGGTGGTGAACGCTGAAAGGCAGCTGAATCACCAGGAGCTTCAGGCTGTGCCTTCCAGCTGACAAACCACAGTTTTAATCGTAACAGTTTTTCTTTGCAAAGGGAAAGTTAAGCTTCTCTCTTAAAACACACTGAAAGAGGTAAAAAGGATCGCATAGACTTTATTTAATTTTTAAGTATTTCAATTATTTGTTTATTTTTCAGTATTGAGGATAAATCCAGAGCCTCATGAATGCTAGGCAAAGATTCTACCAATGAGATACATTCTAAGTCCTGGCACAGGGAAAATTGAAATTTTCCAAAATAGACAGGACTGACTGAGTCACAGTAGTGTATATTGCATTCTTACCAAATAGTTTATGGTAGTTAGGGGAAAAAAATCATGCCTATAATGCCAGAACTTGGGAGGCTAAAGCAAGAATATTACAAAACGTTCAAGGCCACCCTGAGATATATACACGAGTTCCAGGGCAGTCTGGACTACATAGTCAGAACCCGTCTCAAGTTGAGAAAAAAAATAGTGTTTGCTGTGGAAGTAACTGTAATAAGTGTTCTTTGAAATTCCAGCTTGGTCTCTTAGTAACTTACCTTAGGCAAGTTGTCTGCATTCTTTAAGATTCAGATCTCTCCCCTATAAGATGAAACTAGTAATGATGTCAAGAGTGTGTGTGTGTGTGAGAGAGAGAGAGGGGGGGAGAGGGAGGAGAGAGAGAGAGAGAGGAGAGAGGGAGGGAGGGAGAGAGGGAGGGAGATTGAAATAATGTACGTAGTACATTTTGTATAGTGCCTCTCTGCAGAGAGAGTGCACAAATTGTATTTAGTTTTATTTTTTAACTTATTTGTGTGCTCTTGAGTGTATCTGTTTCTTCCAGGTGAAGTTCTGGGACTTTTAGGACACAATGGAGCTGGCAAAAGTACAACAATTAGTATGATAACCGGAGACACAAAACCAACTGCAGGGAAGGTCAGTAATACACGAAGAAATATGTTCCACAATGTTGACTAGAACAAACAATTTATAGTGATCATTCATGGCAACCTAAGGATACACAGTCAATCCTTAGTTGATTATAGTGATATGAATTGAAGATGGTTGATTAATTTTTTCTGCTTAATGCAAAAAATAATTTTTGAGGAGAGCTAATCTTATCAGTACAGTGCCCTTGAGTAGAAAATATTAATGAAAATATTATATACATTATACAAATACACACACACACACACACACACACACACACACACTCATGTATACTTCATGAAGAAACCATGGCTTTGTTGATTGTCCCAAGAACTTGGTAAACTGAGTTTTCTCATCCAGCATTATACTAAAGACATCTGCTAAATCCCCAACAAGTCTTGCTAATGTGGTTACAGTCATGAAGCCCCATATTTAATAACTGTTCTCTGCTTCCATGCTATAATTAAAGGCTGCATGCCACTTGTGTAGCCAGAGGCCAAGGGTGTCTTTGCAAAGAAGACAGTCAGCCAAACTTTCTGGTGATAACTGAGATAAAACCTGGCCAGAAGGCAGATAATATCTCCAGTGACAGGAGAGATGCTGGCAGTGTCAGATGCTCCTGGAGTTTTACTGGGTTCCTAAAGTACCACCCTGGTGCTGTGAGGAGACCTAGAACTTCCTAAGATGACAGACATTAGAGACAAGCAACACAACTGTCCATGGTCTAGATAAAATCCTAAATTGTATATACACTGCACTTTTCTAGACCAAATTAGATAAATGATGGACAGAAACCAGAGGTACGACTTCAGAGGAACATGCTGTTGCCATTTGATCTGAGGTTAAGGTCAGAGGGCAGGTAAATGGAGGAGTGCTGTACAGGGTACTGATTGCTAAAGATATTTCATGCATTGCCTTTCCGTTTCCGCTCTTACCTGATGCAGCTACTGGAGCAGGCCTTTGAAAATGTAAATGAAAGCACATCACTCTCCTGACTGCAAACTCTTACCACAGTGGTCCAAACTCTACCATGGCTGCAGATGGCTTAGCACAATGTGGGCTGTGCCAACTGCCTCTCGCTCTTGCTTTGCCCCTTGGATGGGCCCTTGCTCTTCTCACTGTAGGGTATGCGGGCTCTAACTCCCAGTGGACAGAGCAATCTCCAGGTGCTTGGCCTTCTGCTTAGTATCACTAAGTTCCACTTGCTCAAAGGGCCTTTTATTGCCTGGATTATTCACTTTATTAATTTATATATTAGGTGCATGTATTCTCATGAAAGCAGAGGCTGTCATCAGTCCATCTATGTTTCAACTTGTTTTTTCCTGTTTTCTCTCTAGAATGAAAGTTCTCCAAGGCAAAGTTAACTTGTTTTTCTTCTTCTTCTTCTTCTTCTTCTTCTTCTTCTTCTTCTTCTTCTTCTTCTTCTTCTTCTTCTTCTTCTTCTTCTTCTTCTTCTTCTTCTTCTGTACCAGAGAGAGACAACAACAGAGGATCATGGTCAAAGGCTTAGGTTCTAAAAGTCAATTAGACCAAAGTTAGTTTCAGGTCCCAAGTTTGTCTTCTGTAACACCCTTGTGCGAATTTCTCAACCTTTGAATGCATTGGGCTCAAGTATCTAAGAGGAACACAGCTAACTGTAGGGATTGCTGAGGATAGCATAATTTAAGATCTATCAAATGCTTAGGTTTCTGCACACAGGATCACCGAGTACACATTAGCTGTTAAATACAGCACAGTGCTGGTCTCATCAAAATAATAAATATTACATTTTTGTTGGCTCTCATGTAGTAGACGTATTGCTAAGGGATTTTTCTCTGTTAGTTGCTTCAATGTTGCTCCACTTTAGAACGAATGACATTGTGGATTGGGTAAAGGTTGTGTATAGAATATTTCACAGCAGCTCTGGCTTTTACCCACTTGGCGCCAGTAGTACCCTTTCCACCACAGAAGGGAACACAATTGTGACAAGCAGATATTGTGTCTCTAGATAGTGTGAGATGTACCCTGAGAAGAGGAGTGCTTTTTCCTGAGAACCACTGCCGTACTGGGGAAACGGAATGCTTAACAAGTATCCATTGTTTTGAACATTTGGATCAGTGAAAGAACTCAAGTAATAAGCCACCAACTAAGCGATCTGAACTTGAACTGCGGTGGTGGATTTAGTCATAAAGTCTAAACTATGATTCTAAGATATAATAATGTAGAACATTTGCCTTTTAAATGGTTGAGAGGTCCATCACTTCCCCAGAGCTAAGTGATTACTTAACTCTTTAAACAATTAATGATTTTTGTGTGAACTTCATACATGAGCACTGCATGCATATCATTCCTGCCTCTTCCTCCTCCTCTCCAACTTCTCCCATGTTCCACTCCTACTTCTCAAACTCATGGTCTCTTAATTATCATTACTACATGTAAACATATAGATAGATAGATAGATAGATAGATAGATAGAGTTATCTATATAGATATAAATACACCTCTATCCATCTTTGTATACACACATATATATAAGCTACTGCGTCTGAATAGCATTGTTCATATGAACATGTGTCCAGACCTGACCACTTAGGTTTAGACAAGCTATAAGGAAGCCCATCCCTGGATGAAACTGATTCTTCCTCTCTCAGCAGCCATTGACAAGCTGTAGATTGTCATCTGGAGCCTGGGACCGTGTGAAATTTCTCTTATCTGGCTTGACATGTCAACTTGTGTTGTTATAACATGGTCTTGTTAAAGCAATTGTATTTTTACTATTATGCTCTTAGTACCCAGGTGCATGAAGAGAACATCATTTTTGGTATCACTTACATGCACATGCACAGCTTTGAAAAGAATCTGAGAAAGATTTTATTGTGTGTAGGTATTTTTGAAAGGATGTGGTGAAGGTGCTGCCCTTGGGTTCTTGGGGTACTGTCCTCAGGAGAATGTGCTGTGGCCCGTCCTGACAGTGAAGGAACATCTAGAGCTGTATGCTGCTGTGAAGGGGCTGAAGAAAAAAGATGCCTTGGACACTATTACACGGTACATGGAAGAGTCACACTCAATTTCCTTCTTAGGAGGGTGATATCTTATTAATGGTGTTCACACAAAATTAAAGATTGGAGCTCTTAACTAGTGGCCCCTTGATTGTGGGAGATTTGACCATCTAGAACCTAGCTCATTATTGTTTTTTCTTACTTTAAGTCTAGAGAGAAAAGTCTACCAAATTTTTTTAATATGGAAAAAATCCTGGAAATAAGAGTGTGATGAGCAAAATGGGCTATAAAATACCAGCATTAGTCAGCTTCATGTCACTCTAATCTATGTGTCTGGCTACATTTGAAGAAAAGAGATTTATCTATTTAACTCCATTTTGTAGGTGAAAGTTCAAGATGTCAGCCTTTGATCTAGCCTTTGGTGAGGGCCAAATAGCAATGATATCAGTGCAGCATTGTTTATGAGTGGGAGTTGATATGGACAGACAGGAAACCAGAGAAAGATAAGAATAAGTGCATGAATCCTTGGTGAGCAAACCACAACTAAACAGTAGTAGTAACCTAAGGGATATCAAAGTTGTGACCACTCTGTTGACTTTTAAAGCTCTCACTACTGTAGTATTATTTATATTTGCTTGCTATGTTCCTTCCTGCTCAAGCACAATGAAGATTGACTCATTGCATTTCTCAGGTTGGTGGATGCACTCAACCTGCAGGACCAGTTGAAGGCTCCAGTAAAGACCCTATCGGAGGGAGTGAAGAGAAAGGTATGGACAGGGCTCAGTATCTCACTCTGCATCCTGCAGGCTGATGATAGACCGGTTGTTCCTCTTGTTGCAGCTGTGTTTCGGGCTGAGCATCCTGGGAAACCCGTCTGTGGTGCTTCTAGATGAGCCGTCAACTGGGATGGACCCTGAGGGGCAGCAGCAGATGTGGTAAGATCTCAGGAGCAGTACTCATGTAGATTTATGTATCTTGTAAAAACTGGCTTTCAGCATGGTTTACTTAAAAGCATAAAGATATTCATCCTTTAGCAGGAAAAGCAACATTAATAGAAAAAGTATACAGTTTCATATTCTGGCCAACACTTGTAATACAAAAGCAAGAGACATATTCCTTACATCTAACACCCACTGTAAGAATCCTGTTTTCCTCTTGGATCTCAGTATGCATAGGGCACAGTTAGTCTACTTAATCAATTATTAAACTTCAAATCCTCTGCAATAACAACCTGATGTGGAGATGAAAATAAAAACCCCAAGTCCTCAATATATGAATTAGTTTATGAAATTTCTAAAATCGATCATGTAGATACATTATGATTATCACATATTCTAGGAAGTCCTCACTTCTTCCCCCCTGCCTTCTCACTAATTCTCCTGCTGTTCAGCACTTTTGAGAGCAACATTTCATCACTATCAACCTCCATGTCCAACCCCAAACTGTTTCTAAATGATACACCCTAACCAAAAGTTAGGTTATGTGTCTGTCAATCTTACAAAAATACCTTGGTTTTGATTTTTCCTGGATGCGCTTCTTGTTTTGCCTGTGTGCTAATGGAAACATCTTTAAAAGGTTCTACAATTCTTTGAGAATTCTCTTTAATCAGTGGCTCTCCTTGATATAACCCTAGGCAGGCGATCCGGGCCACCTTTACAAACACAGAGAGGGGCGCCCTCCTGACCACTCATTACATGGCAGAGGCAGAGGCTGTGTGTGACCGCGTGGCCATCATGGTGTCTGGGAGGCTGAGGTGAGTACCTACCAGGCCTGCCCTTGACCTGGGTTACTTTCTGTGATAGAAGAACACTGCCTACTGTGACAAGCTGGAGAATCAGTGCCAGTTTCTGCCTGGCCCTGCCGCTAGGACCCAGGTGATGAATTCCATGAGCCATAGAGAGCTTTTTTGCCTTGCTTGACTTTAGCCTCCTCCTATTTATCTCCAGATGTATTGGTTCTATCCAACATCTGAAAAGCAAATTTGGCAAAGATTACCTGCTGGAGATGAAGGTGAAGACCCTTGCGCAGGTGGAGCCCATCAACACGGAGATCATGAGGCTTTTCCCCCAGGCTGCTCGGCAGGAAAGGTAATGCAAATGTATCATTTTAATCTTATTTTTGGTGGGTTTTTTTTTTTTGAATCATGAGAAATGAAAGTTCTATCTCCTCATTGTTTTTAAATTCAGTCAATGTGAGAACCTTCATGACTAAGAGAAAGCCTCTGTTCCAATGGCTGCCACAGGAAATAACTAAGTCAATAAATTGCTCATTGGAGGCTGGCTCTTGTGAGGGAATTAGCAATTGTGGGGCTATTAAATGTGCCATGTACCACTGTATTTTTGTTGCTATATTATCTCAGTGGCCTTTGCCAGAGGGTGTAACAGTCCTTATTAAAGGAGATGCCCCTGATAGAGCTCAATGGTAGTAGTAGACATCCATCAGAATCCATGAATGGCATCTCTCAGCATTTGTACTAGTGGTGGTAGTAGACATCCAACACAGTCCACGAATGGCATCTCTCAGTATTTGTATTAGTGGTGGTAGTAGACATCCATCACCATCCATGAATGGTGTTTCTCAACATTTGTATTAGTGGTGGTTCTTGAGGTTCAATAAGGTGATACCAAATAACTCACAGTTTCTGCTTAGATACTCTCTTGTTCCTAAGATGGAAGAACAGTCTTGTTCCCTCCCTTCTTAAGGCATCTTGCTACTGGTCTCCTCTCTTGTGTCCCAGTCTTGCTCCTTACAGACTGACTTCCTGTTCATCAGAGAGCACTGGAACTGCAGCCATCTCAGGTCATAAGATGTACATTTTTGCTGGGCAGTGATGGCGCGTGCCTTTAATCCCAGCACTTGGGAAGCAGAGGTAGGCAGATTTCTGTGAGTTCGAGGCCAGCCTGCTCTATAAAGCATGTTCCAGGACAGCCAGAGCTGTTCCACAGAGAAATTCTGTCTCAAAAAAAAGAAAGAAAGAAAAGAAAAGAAAGAGAAAAGAAAAGAAAAAGAAAAAAGAAAAAAAGATGTACATTTACACAAATAGTTGACAGAATTGTTGTTTGTATTCAGGCATGCACACATCTGAGGGTACAACCTTGAAACCCAGTGTTCTTCCTCCTTCTTCACAGATACTCCTCTCTGATGGTCTACAAGTTGCCTGTTGAGGATGTACGGCCTTTATCACAGGCTTTCTTCAAACTGGAGAGACGTAAGTGAATGTTTAGAACTAAAACTCCAAAAGAAAAAACCATAAAAATCCAAACCAGCTTTAAAAAGCATAGAATGTTCATGATACACAATTAATAAATTGCTAAGATATCCAATCCAGTGGTTCTCAAGAAGTGATTTGGCACATCCATCTCATAATGCAAAATGCATTCAGTCTATCTTCAAAAGTCCACATAATTCTTAAAAGTCCCAATTCTGTTCAAAAGTCTTTCATGGGACTCAAGACACATTATGATTTGTGAGCCCTGGTAAAATAAAAAGAACACTACATACTTCCAACAAACAATGGCCCAGAAGGGAGTAGCAGAAGGATAGCAAACAGAGATTTCAGAAAAGCACAAAACATAGAGGGTTAGTCACAGTAACTCTTGTAGCTCCATGTCAGACATCCAGCTTGTGTTTTGGCATGAGGTGACTGCCTATAGCATTTTGTATGCCCTTCCTATGAGTCTGCCGCTTCTAGCACATATGACCTCCTTCTTGGGCCTGTTCTACTCAAAACCTGAACACTTCCTTAGTAGATGTCCTTCAGCTCTGGCATCTCCAACATCCCGAAGTCTTTACTGCAACTTGGACTTTACACTTCAAAGCTTCGTGATGGCTTGCCTGGGAATCTGACTCTACTATACATTTCCTGGCCTCCCAAGCTTTTCTTGGGAACTTTTGTGCAAGACCCAATCACTCCATAACTTTTGCATTATGAATACATGCAAAACTTGCATCACGTTCTGTAGTCAGTTTGAGAAATACCCAGATGCCTTTTCACCAAGGCTGCAGCAGCCTCTGAGTGCCTGGGTATCTGAAACCAGAAAGTTCTATGTCCATGATCATTCACCAGCAGAGTGCCCTGGTACTCTCCCTGCTCAGTCACTTACTTTCCAGCTGAGCTTACATTTCTAGACTTTATGGTCTTTTATGGAAGAAGTCTGGCTCTCAAGGCAACGTTCCTATTCTTCCATTATTTTTCTTTAATGGCACTAAGGATTCTAAGAGTTGCAGCCACCCTCTTAGCACCAACTTTGTCTACAGCAACTTTAAATGTACCCACAATACACACTTTTTCAAAATATTTATGTCACTTGTTCCCCTCTCTCATTGTAAAATTGGCTGAAGACAACAAACAATAGTTAGGCTGTATTCTGATTGCTGTTTTGTCTCAAATTACTCAGATTCTCAGGACACAAATTGGAGCAAACATCTTTTCTGGAAGTCACACAAATGACTTCCAGGCTAACTCCCAGTGGAGTTATCATCTGAAACCTCTGAGTGGTTCTCATCTGAAACCTCTTGAGTACAGTGTTTATCAGCTTCATTTCTACTGGCATCTGGGTCTTCCTCCAGAAGACTCTGCTTGTAGTAATCTAGGTTTCTTATAGCCCTCTCCTCAACCTTTTCCACATTCCTCCCATAAACCAGTTTCAAAGGTTTGAGGACCAAATGGTCATGTTTAATCACAGAAATGACCCCACTTCTGGTACTACTTTCTGTATTGCCTCAGTGTTGTTGTAATCAAATATATACCAGAAACAACTTATGAGTAGAAAAGCTTAATTTGACATGTGGTTTCAGACAATCACAATCCATCATAGCAGGAAAAGTATGATAGGGCAACTCTGTTAGATGGGAGCATGCTACTGGGGCTCCTCACATTAATGTGTCAGACCAGAAGCAGAGCAAAGAGAATGTGCAGTCTTCAAAGGCTCATCTGTAGTGACATACTTCCATTAGTCAGGTCCCATCTCTTAAAGGCCCCAAAGCTTTCAAGTTAGTTTCACAAACTTGGGACTATTTGGATAGCTTGTGAAGGACATTCCAGATTCATACTGATATATCCCCCATGCCTCTTCTTGGGCTGTGCTTTCAATCTTGCCCACTGTCTTCTGTTGAGAACTCACACTGCCCAGCTTGTGTCTTCTTGACACATGGGTAGGGCCACCCAAATAGGTTGTTTTTTCTTATCTTACAGTACACTCTTACACTATGGTCTGTTTTTCAGTAGGGTTCATTTTAGCCTGGTTGATAGGTTTGCATCATTATGATAAGGGTTCCATGGAGCTCTTATAAACAGGATGTATTTTGTAATAGATAAGTATCAATGGGATTGGTATTCCAGGAAGGCTGACCCCCTGGAATACTGTAAAGCTCTTCTTTAAAAACCTTCTGATATTTATGCTTTCAGCAGTATCATTTTCTAACTTATATTCCTTTCCTTTTATTTAATTTGTTAACATTGAGGTTCTCATTTTGGGAGATTTTTAAACAATTTTAATGCCATTTTTCTACCTTATTCTGGGAAGATTATATGAAGTGCCAAATGTAGGCATGTAATTAACATTTCCTTAAGCGTCATTAGACACCATTATGCTCTCGGCTTTAATACATTTATTGAAGGAACTAGGCTCAGAACTTTTCAAGAACAATGCATGCTCCATGAGCATCCATATAGATTCATTTTTCCATACTAGCAGATCAAATGTGGGTAATGCAAACCCCAGCACAACTCTAGAGTCTTTCCCCTCTCAGGTCACACTTGACTATAGCCAGGAAGGTGCATTGTTTTATTTAATCTCTCTTCTTATTCTGTTCCCTCCTTGTCTTATAAGCTGGTATTAGGAGGCCCCCTCTGTGGGAAAGTGGGAAAGGAAGAGAGAAGAAGTAGCATGGCTGCACGATGGCTTGACCATGGGCACTGTAGTCCTCACAGCTGTATGGGAACACAGAACATCATCTTGAGACTATAAATAAGCACAATGGTTACCATTGCCATTAGATCTAAAGAGACAGAAAGACACAGCCTGGGGCAGAGTGGTGTAGAATTTATCAGCTTGAGAGAAATAGTGACCATCAGTCAAGAGACTCCTGTCAGGGAGGGAGTAAAAGAATAAACTCTGTGACCTCTCTTTCTTTTTTTCCTTCCTATTGAAAACCCACTGGGACATGTTACTTAGCACCAGCCCCTGAGGCAGAAAGAAGGGCAGATATAGGAGGCACATGGAAATTTTCTAGCAAAAAGAGAGCCCTGTTTTAACTTTATTTCAGATTGGCATTCTAGAATATTCTCCTTTTTCATCTTCTTGTGCCTTTGACAAAACTCTAAGAAAACAGGACAGTATTTCTATCTTTTTATACAACTAAATGGTGCATTTAATTTCTAATAGTTAACTCAAAATACTTATTATCTTATATTTTTATTATGTGTACATGAATTGGTGAAATTCCTTGAGAAAAAAAAAATGAGCTCCTAATGGGTATTCATCTCACACAGTGAAAGAGAACTTTGACTTGGAAGAATACAGCCTCTCACAGTCCACTCTGGAGCAGGTGGGTAATTTTTAGTGATTGTATATCATCCTAGAAATGAGTTAATACCTGAGGAGATGGCTCATTGGATAAAGCACTTTCTGAACAAGTGTGAAAGCCATAGTTTGAATCCCTAGAGTCCACACAAAAGCCAGGTGGGCATGGCTGACTCCTATAATCCTAAAACCATGGAAGCAGAGGCAAAATCCTCAATCAGGGCAAGCTGGCTAGATGGACTAGCTGATTGGAGAGTTCTAGGTTCAATTGAGTGTCTGTGCCTCTGTAAATAAAGTGTGAAGAACAATTGAAGAAGACACGTGACATCAACTCCAGGTCACCATGGATACCTGTACATACACAAACCAACCTAATGTGGACATGAATGCATACACATCACATACACGTGCAAACACATAATGAATAAGCTTAGGAAGAATACACAATCTTTGCATTATTTGCAGTTATAGAAGGTAGTAGGGTATGCCTCTCATTTGTTTCTTTATTCATTCTCTTTTCCAGGTCTTCCTGGAGCTCTCCAAGGAACAGGAGCTGGATGATTTTGATGAGGAACTAGATTCCTCAGTGAAGTGGAAGCTCCTCCCACAGGAAGAGCTTTAAAGTTCAAAATGTTCTGTTTATCTTCAAGCTCACGTCCCTTTTAAAGACAGTATTCAATATCATTTATGTGTCTTAGTTATCTAAGATGTGGCGCCAAGTATTTTTGAAACTCATGTTAGAATTTTTCTGAATAATATTTCTGACAGTGGTGGCCAAAGTGAGAACAGGCTAGAATGTGTAGCCAGGTCACATTTTACAACCAAGTCACATTTCACATGGTATAGAGTTTTAAAACCCATTTATAATAGTATTGATGTTTCTGAGTAAGCTGCAGCGACTGATTGATTTTCCTCCCTCCCCTGAACTTCAAAATATTAACTATTTTCTTTCCTTATTGACTAGGTAAGATATAATTTAAACAATGTTGATTTCAGGGAGAAGGGAATCAGCTGATTTCCCAACAGAACACTATTTGTTTTTTGTAACTCACTTTGACCTGTTCGTCGTTCCTTGGTTCTTCTTTACTGAACAGTCTGCAGACTTTGGGTTACAGAGAAATGTGTTGTCTCCTGTGACAACACAAGTAACTTTAATTGTGGGAGTCTATTGCAGTCGTTAACGACTGAGTGCATATTTACATGCCAATTTGAACCATTTCTGAAACGTTGATTTTTTAAATGATGTAAATGTGTACTCTTAGATAAAAGGACTAGCTTTGCAAGTCTTTATTTACCAAGTCTGTATATGCTGAAACCTATCTACTGCAACATCATTACAATTGCCACCAACTCTTATCTATGAGATTTTTTGTTGTTACTATTATTTTTACTAGTTAACCAAACATATACAGGCAGTTATGTGAAAAAATTTACCTTGATTCTAGAGTTGTATGTAGTGTATGTGAATACCAATTGCCCTCAGTGTATGAGAATTCTCACACGAGATCTTGAGCAAAGGCTCCAGGCCTTTAATTAAAAAAAAAAAGACATTAATACTGGCCCTATTGATTTACCTGGCCTTATAAATGACAAAGCAACTGATACAAGTCAGTACATTAAAAGCACTTTACTTGGGGCCAGAAAAATGGCTCAGCACTGAAGGCTGATGACTTTTCAAGCCTGATGACCAGAGTTGGATCCTGGCGGCCCCAAATCGTGGAAGGAGAGAACCATCCCTCAAGTTGTTTTCTGACCTACACACACACACACACACACACTTCTACACACATGCACTCAGAACAAACAAAAATGAAATAAAAATACAATGGGTTTCATTGTGGTGTTTTCATATGTATTTTGCTTTTGTTGATCCTTCTCAATCCCTCCCCTCCCTCACCCCTGCACTACTCCTGATGGTCATCTTCCTCACCCACTAGCCTTCCTCTATTTTTATGGAGCATGCATTCCAAACTCTTCTTTAACTGTGCTTGCTAGTGTCTTTCAGCTTGACACAGACTAGAATTACTTGGAACAAAGCCACCTCAGCTGAAGAATTGTTGGCATGTCTGTGAGGCATTTTCTTTACATTTTATTTTTATCTTAGTTGCATGTCTATCTGTGCATCACATGTATGCAATGCCAATAGAGACCAGAGGAGGGCATCAGACCACCAAAGACTGGAATTACATACAGATGATAGTTGCTGTGTGCTGGAAATTGAACCCAAGTCCTCTGGCAGAGCAGCCAGTGCTTTTAGGACTGAGATGTCTCTCCAGCCCCCAGACATTTTCTTGATTATCAAGTGATAGAAGCCTCTCCAGCCTACTCTTGATGACACCATCTTTAGGCAAGTGAGCCTGGGATGGGTAAGGAAGGAAGCTGAGCAAACCAGGGCAAGCCAGTAAGCAGCATTCCTCCATGATCTCTGCTTCAGTTCCTGACTCTAGGTTCCTATCTTGAGTCCTTGCCTTACCAGAAAGACAGACTGTAACCTGTAAGCTAAAATCAAAGCCTTCCCTTCAAGTGACTTTTGCTCATGGTGTTTGTTATAATAACAAAAGCAACTAGGATTCCAATCCTGAGTCCCTCTTTTCCTCTTTCATGAGCCTCTTTTTAATTTAATAATCTGTTTTCTGTGTGTGTGTGTGTGTATACACACACACACACACACACACACACACACACACACACACGAATCTAGGGTCTACATACAAGCATAAATAAGGGGCATTTCTCCCAGTCTGGGATACTTCAAATAACATAGTATTAATTCCACCTTTTTTTTTTTTTTTTAACAAATGTCATGCTTTTAGTTTTCTTTACAAATGAATAAAATTCCACCATTTGCATGTACCACATTTTCCTTACCCATTCATCTGTTGTTAGAGCACTAGGCTCTTAGTTATTGGGAATGGTGCAGCAGTAAATATAGATATGCAAATATTTCCATGGAGAGACTTCCAATCCTTTGAGCACATCCCCAGGCAAGCACTTTACCTGCCATAAACCAAAAGCCCGAGCAGTGCAATTATCCTCTTGTTACACTGCCTGCCTCTATCGGGCCTTTCAGACTCTCTTCATTTGCCCTATGAGCATCCTTGTAGTAAAGCACGCTAATGAGAATGTGTTGGTGGACTACATTATGGGAGCCAACCAAGAAATGTTTAGTATCCTGACAGTACCTTCTCCAGGATAAGAAAGAAGGTAAAACTGAGAATATCTCAAGAAGACTTAGAGCTAAGAGTTCTATAAAAGAAAACAATACTACAACCTTGAGCCACATAGAATTTCAGAACTGTGTTCATTTCAAAAGCACAATACAGCAATGGCAACACCACTAACATTTAGGTGACTAAGAATGCATACTCTGTGGTCATTTCTGTGAACAAATGGATGGTTTTAGAAAATGCTCCTAACAATATTGCAGTACATTGTTTTTTATTTGCAATTGGCACTGTAGAATGCAGGTTTCCAAAAAGGCCCACAGCTCCCCCTGAGAAGTAAATGGTTGTTGAGGGAGGAAGCATCATTTTTCCTCAGTGGTACAGCCGCTGAAAAGCTGTTGGGAAGTTGGGAAGGAAGGTTTCAGTGAGAGAGGATGGGCACAGATGAGAGGGAAATAGGAGCCACAAACCACTTAAAGTCATTATATAAAGACATGAAGCTGTCAATGATAAAATTCAATAACTTAAGTAAATGTTAAGATGGCCCACGAAAGATGTCTTCTAATCTCTAGAGACCAAGACTGAGTAAACAGATTACTCTTTCCTATCTGTTACATTGCATGACACACTTGGTATTAATATCATCTGTGTGGGGACAGATAATCTAATCACCTGACTCCAGAGCTTTTTCCTTCCAGTGAAGGAGGAAGTTGCAGAGGTTCAGAGCAGGAGAACCATGATGTTTTTGAAACTTATGGGGTCATGAGACAAGGATGTAGATATCCTACAGTGGAGTAGTTGAGAGGAGCGATAAAGAAGAAAGCTGAACTTCTACAAACTGCCTTGTAATATCAAAATAATTGAAATTTTAGGATTGTTTATTATAACAATTACTTAGGATTACATTGACCAAAGTAGTAATTCAAGCCAGAGAAAGCCTATGTTACAAACCTGAATTATGTGTTTCTCATCCAGGGCATTGATAAACTGTTGAAACCTTTGAACTAAGCCACATTCTCTGTCAAGCCAAAAGTTTGACAATCTTACCATCTTCATACAAAACAAAACAAAACAAAAAACAAACAAACCACATGCAAACAAGCAAACAAATAAAACAAAACAAAAATCTGGTAGATTTTCTTCATGGGGGAGTTTTGGGTACTCACTCTCAGAACACTGAGCCAATCTACAACAACAACAACAACAACAACATCAAAACTGTTTTAGAACAAATTAGTGAATTAGTATAAAATGGTCAGTATGAAATCATGTAGTGCAGATGTCACAATAACATCTTATTTTGTAGTTCCTGGCTCTTTGTATGTTTATGAGACAGCAGAGGTCCCAGTGGTGTGTTGCACAGTAATCTGTAAATCATTCCTGTGGGGGCTGGGGGACTCGACAAAGCAGAGCTAACTCAGGAAAACCTTTGACAAAGCAAATGTGGCAGACTTCTGGACATGAAGACTCTTTTCAAGGAGGACAGTAGCAATTATAGAAGAAAAGGCTGTTTCTTTGAGTGCCTTAACTGGGAAACTTAAAACCAGAATACAAACATAGACATCAGTTCTTACTGAGCAAAAATCCCTTCCAAGAGCTTGTGAGTTTTTCAATCAGCAGTGCAGAAATAAACTCAGAATTCCAAGTAGATAAAGACCTCAGAGATTCAAATGCATTTGCTTGTTTTATAAGTTAAAATCTGGTAGGATTCATTATGTAATCATAGAGACTATTATCTGAAGTTACAAGTAATTTTGTAGACTTGTATTTCGAAAGTGCACTGATTCACAGAAACTAATTTTCATTATTTCCAGCTATGTAAGTAAGATAGAATTTTCTAAGTATTGGCTGGACAGTGGCTTATGCTTCCTTCCTTACTAATAACTCTGCATTAAAATACGGCTTGTTTTACCAAGATGAAAGGCCCTTTTCTGGTTGTCTTAGTTTAGATTTTCATATCCTACGTATAGCTCGATGTTTTTCTGAGCCATATTTCCCAAGCCTCATTATGAGCACATTTCAGAGGTGGAGCCTATTGGCTGATGCCGATAAGACCAGGAACTGATGAAGTAGATAGGATGGAAGATGTGACGGACACAGAAAGAAAAACAAAATCAAGATATTGATTTCTGTGCTGTTCAAAACCTGATTAGATTATCTGACTGAACACCAGAAAATGAGTTCAGAACTCTGAGCTCTTTATGTTTCACCTTTTAAAAGACAATATTTTGTTCTTTGAAATCTGACAATTTCTTTTTTGAGGGGCATAGATAAGTTACAAATTTGGACTCCTTCTGCAACACACATTTTTCAAGCCATTATAGTTAGTCAAATAAGCAGGGCTGGCAGTTCTCTGCTGCGGGAACTGGCTGGAAGTCAATAAAAGGAGATTTGTTCCAGGGTGGTCACGTGAACACAATGCTCAGCAGGGCAAGAAAATGACAACCACGATCTTCCTCTAAAAGCAGTCATTCTGACTGGGAATACTCAAGACAGGCAAATGGAATGAGCACAATACAGACATGATAGAGACCGGGAAGAAATAGAAACCATTTTCTTGAAGCAAGGAAATACAGGGGCAAATTAACTTTCTAGAATATTTTCTTCAGACATTCCAAAAGTAAGTTCATTTTTGCTTCTGTCTTGTTTGTGCTATGTAATTACAAATGAGATTTCATGTAATCAAAGACCAACTTTTAGGGAGAAATTATTTTTAAAAACAGTGACTTTAGTGTTTTGGGATTTATTTTTTATGTGGTCTACAGGGAAAGGAATGGGTAGTTTTAAAGACATTGTCATATTTTGTTATTCTAAGTAAAAATATGTGAATGTGCCAGTGATGTGTTAGTGATCATGAGGGATGTAAGATCTTCTGGAAGCATTTGCAGTGTGAATCTGAACATGGATCTGTTGCCAGGCTGCATTTATACACACATGCAATTTTATTGCACAATAGTTTGCAGGCATTTCCAATACTCTTTCTCTAATCCTGAGAATTGTTTAGAATGCCATTTAGAGAAATGTTTTTGTATTTCAGCTTGTCATTCTCAAATTTATAGGTTTTTTTTTTTAATGTAAGATTTTCCTGCACATTTTTATTTGTTGGGCATGATGTATTTAATCCTATTGAGACAAGCGTCATTTCATTACAATAGGATTTCAAATGTCACATCCTTTGCTGTCTACAAGAGTTTGTAGTAAAACAGGGTTTTGTTGACTGGAGTAGAGAGTCAGTAATAGTCACTCATGCTGAAACAAAATCTTCATTTTTATTTGTGCATGGGTTAGCAAGCACCTAGGAATCAGAGAAGGAAGGAAAAGCAAGCAGCAGGGATATTTTAATGAGCTTATTTATCCTGTACAGCTGATTTACAGTGAAATTCTGGGATTGGGAGGTAGACTCACTTTTTCTGCCTACAAAGGGCTGTGGCTGCTTTCTTGGCTGGTTCAAGCTGCCCCGCTTCTTAAAAATGTTTACATTACCAGGAGAAATTCTTGGGACTCCTGGACACCCTGACCTAAAACATTTATAATAATAATAATAATAATAAATATTATTACTATTATATTATTATTATTATTAGTAGTAGTAGTAGTAGTATTTTGCTAGTTCAACAGTCCCCTCCATTTGTTAGTCCACATACTTCCTAATATTTTTTCTCCATCCTTTTGTAGCACACCTTACTTAATAGGCACATATTCTTTTCTTTTCTGGAAATAGCCCTGTGAGCCTGCTGTGGCTGCTGTCGTCCTCCCAATGGGACTGTCCCCTGAACACTTCACCTGGGATTTCTTCCTGGGAAACAGGCAGCTCTCTGGCTGAACCTGTCTCATGAATGGGATGAGAACTTCATGCAGAGAAACTTCTATTCTTTATCTATATGGCAATATTCCACCACAACCTTGTGGACCATTTTTAGGCAACACAGTGGTAAAAATGTTACTTCTATCAATTATTAAGACCTAAGAGCCAATTGACACTGGCATACCTCCCCCCAAAATTGATGTTTCCTATAAAGTAACTTGATTGTGTGAATTATTCTAAGCAAACTCTTTCTTTACACAATGTAAAGTTTTAATGAACTTAGTGAAGGGGTTTCTGTTTTGTTTTCTTTTATGTGTAGCTTCTAGAAAGGCCTGACAAACTGGATTTGTGTATGATTTCTTGGTTGGGGTATGGGAAGATGTTATATTCAACTATGTTCTGAAACATATTTTGGGAAATGTTCTGCTAAAGGAAAATATTTATATAAGTTCCCACATTGTGACAGTTAATTTCATGTGTCACCTTGGTTGAACTATGGGATCCAACTGTTAGACCAGATGCTAGTTTAGATGTTGTGAAAGTGGTTTTAAGTACAATTAACATTTAAATCGGAAAGCTTATAAGGTTTTTTACACTTACTTATTTATTGGGGTTGCAGGGGTGGGGGTGTGGAAAGGAAGGGCGTCACTGTATGTGATCCAAGGACAACTTGTGGGAATCAGATCTTTCTTTCTAATATGTGACTCCTAAGAATCCCACTCAGGTTGTTAGGTTTGGTAGCAAGTGCCTTCACACATTGAGTTGTCTTGCGGATTCATCAGTATATTGTACATCAACAAGATAACCCTCCATTAGTGTGAATGGGCTTCACTTAATCACATGAAGGCCTTGCAAATGCAGTCTGAGGTTCACCAAAGAAATTCTCTTCAGACTTTAAAACCTAGAAGCTCCAACTGAGTTTCCAGCTTGCAGTAACACAGATTTGTATGAAAGGCTGCAACAATCCATACCTCCATTGGCATCCTCTTTGTCTTCCCTATCACTCATGAAATAACTAGCCCACATAGTTAAAGAAGCCAATTCCTGAAAGTAAACTGATTGGTCTTTGTCTTTGCACATAGCTTCTTCTTTCACATTAAAAAAAAAATCTCTAGATTGCTAGCTGTTGATACACTTGTGCTCTATTCTCTCTGTTTCTCTGAAGAGCCTGGAAGAACACACTTTTGCCAATTCTCAGAAGTCCACAGGCTCAGTGAACACTTTCACTACTAGTGATAAATGCTGTGTCTGATTTGTGGTTTCTGCAGGGAAGGGGCTGCTCTGCGGTTACACTGTGCTTCCTGGCTGCTCACACACAGCTCCTTCCAAAGACTTCCAGGGCTAGCCTTCATTTCTGTGTCTATAATGCTTTACCACTCACCAAGGTCATCACTCCATCAAGAAATTCCATGGTACCCATGTATACCACACACACACACACACACATACACACACACACACACACACACACACACACACACACACACACACACACCAGACATCATTGCTTCATATTATTGGCTACTACTCACTCAAGAAGTTTGGGGTGACTAGACCTGCCACATACTACACCCACACCAATCCTCTGCCCCTTCTTCATGCCATGCCCTTCCGTGGAAATCCCTGGGGTGCATTTCAATAGGCTCTAGCTCGACTTTAGCTGGTTGTGAGCATTGGAAAGAGCCCTGTTCTCTCAAGGCATTCTTCTGAAGTATCTCTCAAGCTATTTGTGAGGAAGGAACATTTTAGTTCTTTTCTGAAGACCACTGCTTAAAAAAATCCAACATGTAGAGTTATGCTGCAAGAAAGCTAAACATTGCTATAAAAACTTCTCAAACTCTTCACTTCTTCACTGACTAGGAACCTAAAGTACATTGAGTAATGGTACCCTCCTCGGGTGCTTAGTGTGAAATTATTGGGCATGGTGCCGACTGTAATCAGCATCATTTATCAAAGAAGAGTATCAAGGAAGTTATGTTTACTCATCAGGCTCACTCACCACTATGTCTGTATTCTCTACCTTGCTACTACTATGACTAAACAGTAAATACCACTTCTCCCCATTCCCAGCTTCTCCCACCCAAACAGACTTTCATGCAGTATGCCCCTACCTCATTAAAATGACAACTACTTCCTTTTTAATCCGTGTCATTTTGATCCCTTGAGATGATCAACAACAGAAAATTGAAAAAGTTAGGTCAAAGCTCATGAATTTTAACCCAGCTAAAGCCTACTTGAATCTCAGTTTCAAGGGAAACTTTAGCATCACCTCAAGCACATGCCCAAACATAATGTGGCTTTCCCATGCCAACCTGTGAAATTTATTTTCATCACCTATTCAGTTCATAATATGTACAATAGTACGTCTACTTTGATGTATTATAAAGATAGAACAAACTTCTTTGCAACAATAACAAGGGCTAAGAAGATTAAGCTCCTCACCCAATACTTTCAGTTCTTGTAGACATATTCTCCCATATATGCACAGGGCACCAGTACTATTCCTGATACTGATTTCTTTATAGTATTGGAAAAGCAACCATTCAGATCCAAAATTCTGATCTGTTTTTGGAACTGTTACTTCAACATTTCAGTGTTTTCACAGGTTAAGTTTTTCTCCTAGAGAAAGTGAAATATAGTAGTCTTCTCACACCAAATCAATATATTCCCATTACATTGTGCTAGATATGTTGATTTATAAATTATATGTAAAGGATATCCAGGTCTAGAGTCATTTAATTCATTCTCTCTTTCTGTCCCTCCCTCCCTCCTCTCTTTGTGTTTATTATACAAATTAGAATATTAACATATTTACAAAACCAAGAGCTGCATGTCTTTTAAGGAAATACACTTGAAGGAGTCTATGTGTGAGAAGAGGAGAAGAGAAGGAAATAGAAGACATCCCCAGTGGATAAGCTGGGAATTCCTAGAATTGAAGCACTTCCTTGGGAATAAAGGGCAACCAGGCTCTGACATCTGCAGAGAAAATGTCCTCTTAAGATCTTAGTATTTATTGGCTCTTCTCTTTTTCTCTTATTAAACAGACCAAAATGGTTAACAGAGAGATAAATGTGTGCCAACAAACATGGGCCTTACTGTGCAAGAATCTGCTTAGAAAATGGAGAATGAAAAGAGACACTTTTTGGGTACGTCTTGGGATCTGCCACGCTTCCTCTTTGTGATAGCACAGTGTGTTTCTCCTGGGTGCAAGTACTGAAGATCACGCCCCCCAAAAGAAATCACTCCTCTAAACAAAAGCAGAAGGCCATTCTCTAAGGGGTAAATGTAACAAAGGAGGGTGCCAAATGAGAACACAATAAATACCTTAAAACCTTACAAAGGCATTCAAGCCGGGCAGTGGTGGCACACACCTTTAATCCCCAGCACTTGGGAGGCAGAGGCCGGTGGATCTCTGTGAGTTTGAGGCCAGCCTGGGCTACAGAATGAGTTCAGTAAAGGCTCCAAAGCTACGCAGAGAAACTCTGTCTCGAAAACCCAGAACCAAACCAAACCAAACCAACCAAACAAAAAAAACCCAAACCCAAAGGCGTTCAAAACTGTTTTTTCCTCACTGACAAGTAGGAAAGTAGCACATGAAAGTGATGGCGGGTGTGCTAATGGATGTACACACTGATGGCAGAGGCCTTACTTTGTGATCTCTTTCTCTTGTGAAAAGACATTTGGTTGCTTAAGAACACAGAGATTTTGGGAAATTGTCACAAAGAAAAACCTTCCTGTATAATCTTTCCATTTAAGTATCAGATTGTGGAACCAGATAGCATTCGGTAATTAAATTGTAATTATAGTAAGTACATATACAGTGAGCTTTTAAGAAGCCAAGTATTGAAAAAAGATACCAGGGTTGGTAAGATGGCTGGGAAGGTAAAAGCCCTTGCATCCAAGCCCAAGGACCTGGATCTGGTCCCTAAACTCATGATGGAAAGAGAACCGACTCCTGTGAGTTGTCACTGACCTCTGCATGTGTACTGTGTGCTTGTGCATATGAGTGCATGTGTGCAGGTGTGTGTGCATATGCACACACACACATACATACACACATGCACATTCTGAAAATTAAAAAACGTTTAAAGTGATTGCTCTTTGTACCTCACAGGTACCCTTGATGGACACCTATCAAGTCAGAACAGTATTCTGAGGTTCCTGCTTTCTTTGTTGAGTTTTCTACCCTGCAGTTAAAAAATATGACCAAAATAGAAATTATTATTAAAATATCAATGCCAAGACAATAATAATGATTAAATTATCAATGTCTTGGAACTGTCTCCATCCACTGATTCTCATAGCAAAATCAAACTTGGCTGAGCTGCCGAGAGTTTGTGCCCTGTCACAGCCTACTACTTAGAGTTTTGCTCCATTTTTACATTCAACTCATCTCCTCACACCAGCGTTACAGAGCAGGAAATTTCACTGCCATCCAAAATTCCCTAGAGGAGGCTAGGTGTGGTGTCTCTATACCCACACTTGGTAGGCTAAAGTAGGAGGATCACAACTTCAAAGTCAGCTTAGGGTGTACAGCAAGATAATATCTTAAAAAAACAAGTCTTGAGAATTATAGGGCAAGTTTAATGGCTGTAGACTGAATTTTTTTAATCTATCCTAGGAGACAGAGAAATTGGAAAATTAGTCAACAATAATCATAGCTATATGGCAAAACTGATTGTGTTTGACTTATTTTAAATTACAATCTGTTTAAATTACAGTCTGTGCTGTTTTCTCTGGCTTTGTAGGAATTCCTGTACACATCAATTTCACTGTTTAGCTTATCTATATTTCCTGAAATCCATAATATTTATGATTTTTCATCTCTGTCTAATGTGGACCTGGGACGTATTGACTCGTTTAATGACTCCACCTTTTTGATTGCGTACACACCTGTCACTGAAACAACTCAGAGGATAATGAATAGAGTCTCTTTGGCCTCCTACATGACAGGTGAGTTTTCTGCTAAATCAGAAGGAATCTGTCTTCCTAGTTAATTTGGTTACATACCCTGGTTAATATATACTTCACTTGATAAGCTCTGGAGTGTGTGTGTGTGTGTGTGTGTGTGTGTGTGTGTGTGTGTGTGTGTGTATTGGTGTTAGATCTTCTTTGAAAGTCTGGTAGAATTCTGAGCTAAAACCATGAAGGCTTTTTTTGGTTGGGAGACTTTTAATGACTGCTTCTATTTACTTGGGTGTTATAGGTCTATTTAAATTATTTATCTGATCTTGATTTAATTTTGGTAAGTGATATCTATGAAAAATATCATCCATTTCTTTTAGATTTTCCAGTTTTGTGGAGTACAAGTTTTTGAAGTATGACCTAATGATTCTTTTAATTTTCTTGGTTTCTGTTATACCCCCCTTTTAATTTCTAATTTTGTTGATTTGAATATTCTTTCTCTGCCTTTTAGTTAGTTTTGATAAGGGTTTGTCTATCTAGTTGATTTTCTCAAAGAACCAGCTCTTTGTTTCTTTGTATTGTTCTCTTTGTTTCTATTTTATTAATTTCAGCCCTCAGTTTGTTTCCTGTCATCCATTCCTCTTGGGTGTGTTTGCTTCTGTTTGTTCTAGAGTTTTCAGGTATGCTTTCAGTTAAATAACTGATATGAGATCTCCCTTAGTGCTATGAACTTTCCTCTTACTTTCATTGTGTCCCATAAGTTTGGGTATGTTGTGTCTTCATTTTCATTGAATTCTTGAAAGCCTTTAATTTCTTTCTTTATTTCCTCCTTGACCCAGTGTCAGTTCAGTAGAGAGTTGTTCAGTTTCCATGAGTTTCTAGGCTTTCTGTTGTTTCTATTGTTGTTGAAATCCAGCTTTAATCTATGGTGGTCTGATAAGGTACAGAGGACTATTTCAGTTTCTTGTATCTGTTGAGACTAGCTTTGTGACTGAGTATGGTTAATTTTGGGAAGGTTCCATGAGGTGCTGAGAAGGTATATTCTTTTGTATTTGCGTGAAATGTTCTATAGACATCTGTTAGGTCCATTTTAGTCATAATGTCTATTAATTCCATTATTTCTCTGTGTAGTTTCTGTCTGGACAACCTGTGCATTGATGAGGGTGGGTGTTGAAGTCTCCCACTATTTATGTGTGGGTTCCTATGTGTGATTTAAGCTTTAGTGATATTTCTTTTACAAATGTAGGTGCCCTTGCATTTGGAGCATAGATGTTCAGAATTGAGATGTTATCCTGGTGGATTTTTTTCCCTTAAGATTATGAAATGTGCTTCTTCTCCACTCTTTTAATTTTGGTTTAAAGTCTATTTTGTTTGATACTAAGATAGCTGCACCAACTTGCTTCTTAGGTCTATTTGCTTGGAAAATCTTTTTCCAATCCTTTACTCTGAGATAATATCTATGTTTGTGGTTGAGGTGTGTTTCTTGTATGCAGCTGAATGATGGATACTCTTTTCATATCCATTCTGTTAGCCTGTGTCATTTTATTTTCAAATTTAGTCCATAGATGTTGAGGGATATTAACTACCCATGGTTGTTAATCACTGTTATTTTGGTAGTGGTGGTGGTGTGTGTGTGTGTGTGTGTGTGTGTGTGTGTGTGTGTGTCTTCTTTGGATTTTGCTGGTGAGGGATTAACTATTGCTTGTGTTTTTGTGGGTGTAGTTAACTTCCTTGAGTTGAAATTTCCCTTCTAGCACCTTCTGTAGGGCTGCATTTGTGGATATAAATGGTTTAAATTTGACTTTGTCATGAAATACCTTGTTTTCTCCATCTATGGTTATTGAAAGTTTTGCTGAGTATAGTAGTCTGGGCTAGCATCTGTGGTCTCTTAGAGTCTTCAAGATGTCTGTCCAGACCCCTCTGACTTTGTAGTTTCTGTTGAGAAGTTTTGGGTGTGATTTTAGTAGGTATGCCTTTATATATTACTTGGGCTTTCCCCCTGCAGCTTTTAATATTTTTTTCTTTTCCCTGTATGTTTTGATGTTTTGATTATTATGCGATGCAAGGACTTTCTTTTTGGATCCAATCTGTTTGGTGTTCTGTAAGCTTCTTGTACCTTTTAAGGCATGTCATTCTCTAGGTTAGGAAATTTTTCTTCTATGATTTTATTAAATATATTTTCTGGGTTTTTGAGCTGGGATTCTTCTCTGTCTCCTATTCCTATTATTCTTAGGTTTGGACTTTTCATATTGTTTCAGATTTATTGGATGTTTTGTGTTAGGAATTTTTTAGATTTAACATTTTCTTTGACTGATGAACTCATTTCTTCAATTGTATCTTCAATGCCTGAGATTCTCTCTTCCATCTCTTGCATTATGTTGGTGATGCTTGCATCTGTAGTTCATGTTTCTTTAACCAGATTTTTCATTTCCAGAATTCCCTCAGTTTGTGTTTTCTTTATTGCTTCTATTTTGATTCCCAGGTCTTGAATAGTTTCCTTCATCTGTTTGTTTTATCCTTGGCATTCTTGGCATTATTTAAGGGATTTATTGATTTCCTCCAATTTTTCAAGATGCACTCTTATCACTTTGGAACCATAAGCTAAAATCAACTCCCTTTTCCTTTAATTGACTTTGGTCATGGTGTTTTATCACAGCAACAGAAAAGTAACTAATGCAGCTTCTCATAGGTATTGCTTATAGGAATTTACTTATAGTAGTAATCTTTTTCTTGAAATTCCAGGAAAAGAAATATTGGCTTTTCCAGATGAAGAAAATATGACAGAACTCATTTCAAACCGTTACAATGATGTAGTGAGGGTCATATTTACCAGCACTTACTCCTATCATTTGAAATTCCATGAAGGAATAAGGATTCCAACCATGAAGGAGCATAAGGACCACACAGGTAACTATGAAGCTCCAAAACTGGATGGCTTTCCATTCCTCCAATGTTATAGGAGAATGTAGGGATATGTTCTGGCTAGTTTTGTTGTTAACTGGACAACTTGGGAAAGATGAACTCAACTGAAGAATTGCTTCCCTTGGATTGGCCTGTGGGCATGTCTGTATCACATTTTCTTAACTGCTAATGGATGTAGGAGCATCTTATCCACTGTTGGTGATCCCATCCCTAGGGAGGTGAACCTAGGTTATAAATAAATGTAACTGAACAAGCAAGGGAAGCAAGCTAGTAAGCAGCATTTCTCAGTGATCTCTGCTTCATGATCCTGCCTTGGCTTCCCTTAATGATATACTATAACCTATAAGCTAAAATAAACCCCTTAATTCCCTAGTTACTTTTGGTAAGCTTTATTGGTTATATCACAGCAAGAGAAAGCAAACTTGAACAGGATATTAATTAATGCAAATTAATAAGTTTTAACAACAAAGGCAAGGAACTGAAGAGATAGCTTAGTTAGTAACATACTTGCTGTGCAAGTGTGAGGATGGTAGTTTGATGCCTAGAACACATGTAAAACTCATGGTGTGGTGGTGCATGCTTGTGATTGTAGTGCTGGAGAAGCAGTCGGAGATGGCTCCCCAGAAAGCCAGGCTGCCCCAATTAGTGAGTCCAAGGTCCTAGTGACAGACCCTGTCTCAAAAGACATGGTGGATTGCTCCTGTAAACAACACTCAGGGCTGACCTCTGACCGTCTCACACATGTGCACACATGAGCATACATATTAACTCATACATCCTACCTCCTACTATAACAAAGGTAAAGTCGACTTCTAGAAGTAAATAAAATTAGACAAACAAGAAATGTTGCCCACACATACACGCACAAGTGTGCACATATATTCATCTTAAACTAAAATCACATGAAAAAGAAAATCACAGCAGCCAGTAGAGAAAGTGATTGCTAAACATCAGTGTGTTGTGTTTATGTTTCCCGATGACATATGGGTCTAACATTTTTTTTTTCCAACAAGAAGCTTGAGCTTCAATGGCAAATTTAGGATAAATCAGATGGTGTCAAGCTTGCCTCAGTTGGAGCTATGTTATCAGGCTGGAACTTTCAGAAAGATGTATCCTTCAAACCAAATGTAATGACTTCGATCTGAAATTCTAGCACTAGAGATGAGAGGATGATTGTAAAGTCAAAGCCAGCCTGCGATACCTACCAAGTTTTAGGCCAGCTTAGGTAACAGAATGAGACCCTTTATTCAAAACTAAAAGCAAAACAAACAACAGCAACGAAAGATGTGCCTTTCATCAATGGGAAGAGTGGAGGAGGAATCATCTTGTAGCAGAAAAAAAGAATGGAACAAGGAAACTTCTTTCTTTTGGGTTCTGGACAATATTATGTCTTTTAAAAGACTTCAACTTCAAACCTTCAAGTAGAAATAACAGTCAAGTGAAAAATAGGAGTGCATCAGTTACATAAATTGAAGGCATTATCAAACTTGTCTGGAATGTTCTCATACCAACCCAGAGAACAAAGATGTATTTCTGAGTAGGAAATCTCAGTTCATAATTACTAACAAGATGCTATATGCAAGAGTTCATAGGAGAAAAAGCATTTGATAGTCAGACATACAGAAAATAAATGATGAAACATAAGACTGCAAAAACAGCTGTGACTCATGAAAAGAAAAACAGTGTACCACTAGGACACCCCAGAGGTACTGTCAACAATTGCTTATAAAAGAAAAAATTGAAATATGTTCAATAATTGTAATTATATTATTATAATATGAAGAGGAAGAGTCTCTAAATAAGAAGAGAAAACCTTTTATGAAATGCTTTAAAAAGGACCACAATAATTCTATTAATGAAAAGGAATCTTATTTTCACATCAGATCAAAGGGACCAAAAATATGGTTCTGAAAATACAAAAGACATTATTAGCTTATAAAACTATGTGGTAAGATTTGCACAATTTTTAAAGTACTTAGTAAGTATTGCTTAGGAATATAGACATCTTTTTAGAAATCTATAAATGGCCATACAGTTTAGGGAAGTCGTTGTCATAGGATGATGATAGATTTTATCAGTAGAATAAGACCACAGAAGAAACGGGGAATTTTGCCTTTCTAGTCTTCA